ATAATGACAGTAATAAATAGAGTAAAATAATGGAAATGTAATAATAACAGTAATAATAGAATAATAAATGTAGTAATAACAGTAATAAATAAAGTAAAATAATGGAAATGTTATAATAACAGTAAGAATAGAATAATAAATGTAATAATAACAGTAATAAATAGAGTAAAATATTGGAAATGTAATAATAACTAATAATAGAATAATAAATGTAGTAATAACAGTGCTAAATAGAGTAAACTAATGGAAATGTAATAATAACAGTAATAATAGAATAATAAATGTAATAATAACAGTAATAAATAGAGTAAAATAATGGAAATGTAATAATAACTAATAATAGAATAATAAATGTAATAATTACAGTAATAAATAGAGTAAAATAATGGAAATGTTATAATAACAGTAATAATAGAATTATAATAAATGTAGTAATACTAATAATAATCGAATAAAATAATAAATGTAATAAAATAATAATAACAGAGTAAAATAATAAATAACCTTGACTTGAATATAAACCGAGGGGGGCTTTTTCAGCCTTAAAAAAGGATTGAAAAACTAGGCTTATACTCGAGTATAAACAGTAAATAATATTTTATAACCTGCCCTTATATTCCAAGGGTCTCAGGGCAGTATATAATGCAAACAGCTTATAAGAGTAAGAATAGCTTTCAAGTACTGAAAGCATATTGAATTGCTTAAAACAACAATTCAAAAACAGTTAATACCATTTAAATGGTGCCTCCAATGGTGCAGTGTGTTAAACCGCTGCTGAACTTGCTGACCGAAAGGTCAGCAGTTTGAACCTGAGGAGTGGGGTGATCTTCTGCTATTAGCCACAGCTTCTGCCAACCTAGCAGTTGGAAAACATGCAAAAGTAGTGTTGCACTATGCAGTCATGCTGGCCACATGACTTTGGAGGCGTCTACGGATAACGCCAGCTCTTCGACTAAGCACCAACCCCCAGAGCACCAACCCCCAGAGTTCAACATGACTAGATTTAATGTCAGGCGAAAACTTTTACCTTTACCTAACACCATTTAAAATAATGTAACCATGTAACATGTGTAAATTATGCAAATACATTGTTAATAAGATTTGATCATTCTAGTTGAAACATCCAGTTGTGAAAACGCAACACATGTAGTGCATCTTGCTTATTCACCTTTCTGCTTCAGGTGTTTGACTTCCTCAAAACATCGATTATGAGAAGCTTCAAGGACAAGCAGTTCCTCCAAGGCTCCAAGTTTCTACAGGACTTAGCTCCTCAGCGCTATGATATATCTGCTGTGTTTTTAGAAGTTGTAGCGAACAGGTGAGTGGCTAAGAAATCAGTTGATGGAATAAACTTTTCTGCTATCCATCCTCCCTCAATCAATGATTATGTAGCTTTGATACTATCATGCATACATCGAAACCTCTACTTAAGAGCATCCCAACTTTAAGAGGATTTGAGTTAGGAGCTGCCGCTCGGCCTGGAGTTCGCTTTGACATATGTGGTGAAGTGTGAGTTTTAATCTATAGTTGTATAAATATGTGAGAGGAACCCACAGGGAGGAGGGAGCAAGCTTGTTTTCTGCTTCCCTGGAGACTAGGACGCGGAACAATGGCTTCAAACTACAAGAGAGGAGATTCCACCTGAACATGAGGAAGAACTTCCTGACTGTGAGAGTTCAGCAGTGGAACTCTCTGCCCCGGAGTGTGGTGGAGGCTCCTTCTTTGGAAGCTTTTAAGACAGAGGCTGGATGGCCATCTGTCAGGGGTGATTTGAATGCAATATTCCTGCTTCTTGGCAGAATGGGGTTGGACTGGATGCCCATGAGGTCTCTTCCAACTCTTTGATTCTATGATTCTATGTATAATAATAGATAGGTGTTTAAAAGGGTAAGTATTTAAACTAGTGTAACTGGGGGGATGGTAGCCAGCTCAACTCACTTTGAGCTGGGTTGCCATGGGAAAAGGGGCGGAGCCAACTGCCACTTGGCAGGGCAGCCATTTTAAAACAGTTAGTCTGTAGTCAGCGAACTACAGGGAAGGCTGGTTCTGTAGTGTGTTGAGAACCAGTAAAGTAGTCTGTAGTCTAAGGACTACAGGGAAAGGCTGATTCTACTGTGTTGAGAATCAGGAAGGTTTTGGCTTTTAGCCTGTGTAGTTTAGATAGGTCAAGTTGACTTATTTATATTATTAGTCACATCCTCCTTCAGGGTTCAGATAAAAACTCTATTTTAAAATTGACCCTTTTTACCCAAAAAGCGCTGGCCATCCGCGAGAAGATGGAAGCAGAGAGAGGTGACCTTGCTGCCATCAACAAAACTCAAACTTAAAAACTTAATATGGACATGCCACTAGTTTTACCTACCCATGCCCCCACCCAAACCCTACTTTAAGGAATTAATCAATTTTTAACATTTTAATCTTTTTATCTTTTTGTTGCTCAATTATTTAGGAGTGGGTCGACAGGCCAGTAGGCCATGATGCCTTGTATTCATATATGGTTTTACTGTATGTGTATGTTTTGTATGTTTTGCATGTTTTGATATGGTCAAAATTGACTAATCAATAAAGAATTGTATTGTATTTTTGTATATTATTAGTCTGTGTATGAGCAAAAGGGGGAGAGAACCATAAAAAGAATCTTTACTGCAACAGAAATAACATAAGGAAAGAATAGGTTTATACCTGAAGTAATCTGTTAAAGAAAAAAAACACATTTTGAAGGAAAATAAGTTTAAAACCTGTTTAGTGGAAGGAATAGTCCTCTTAAGAGTTGTTTACTGAAATGTATTAAATGTAACCTCTGAAGAAATGTGCCTCTAAGAGCTAAGAAACATTGAAACCATCAAGCTTCTTTTATACTTCAATAAACTTGTTATAGTTTCTTCTAAAGCCAAGTCTCTGTTACAAATACTTTCAAGTTAAGCCACGCTTCAGTCCAAATCAACATTACAAGCTATTAGTTGTGTTATCCATTTAGTAAGTCCTTACAAAGTGGTGGCTCCTTTACAAACCGTTACAACATAAGACTAGAGTTTTGAGTTAAAGAGTTAGCTCCAGAGAGAGTGCTAGTTCAAGAGTCAGGGCTTTGGGGCTTCAAGGGAGCAGCCTCTGTGCCTCGTTCTTTTGTCCACTTTGGGAGATCACTGTCCACTTTACTCTTGTCCTTTTTGAGGAAGTTTGGGTTAGTTGATTTTGTGTGACTATTATTCCTGGTATGTTTAGCTTCATGAAGAGAGAGAGGGAGAGAAAAACAGGGGAGGGGGAAATGAGATGAGTACAGGACAAAGAAAATGATGCTTTTCTCCTCTGATGGTTTTGTTCCAGTGTATTTGGCTGGGATCATGTGACACAGGGCCTGGTGGGTCTGGGATTTATCCTGATGGACTCCTATGGGCCGAAAAGACCCTTTGGGGGCAAAGGCATGGAAACTAACCATGGTCTTTCCAAAACTCCAGCTCAGCAATCGTGCAAGTTAGGAGCTGATATCCTATTGGAAGCATTCAAGGTTAGTCTGAGATGGTGTTGTATATTCTATGTTTTCAGTCGTTGTACTTTTTCTCCTCTTGATGATTGTCACCCCAGGTTTTTAATACCTCAGATATACATCCCTTTTTAAAAGCAAAATGATTTAAAACCAAACCCACATTCAAGAATATATAACCTACTGATGCCTTATTATTATTAATTATTTGATGTTAGAAAATTCTGTTGTTCTGGAATGAATTTTTGGATACAATCACACATGTAGGACAGGATATAAAAGCCCGAAATAATAATAATAATAAGGTTCTTGTGGGTTTTTTTGGGCTATAGAGCCATGTTCTAGAGGCATTTCTCCTGACGTTTCGCCTGCATCTATGGCAAGCTTCCTCAGAGGTTGTGAGGTCTTGCCATAGATGCAGGCGAAACGTCAGGAGAAATGCCTCTAGAACATGGCTCTATAGCCCGAAAAAACCCACAAGAACCTAGTGATTCCAGCCATGAAAGCCTTCGACAATATAATAATAATAATGTAAGAAATTTTACTTTTAGAGAAAAAAAGTGCCCGCTCTCAAGAACCTGTGGAATGATTCCCAGTTCTGAACCCAGCTAATTAAAATGAGATACGTGCACAAAAAGTATAAACATGTTTAAATTAATACAATATTTATTATTATTATTATTTCGGGCTTTTATATCCTGTCCTACATGTGTGATTGTATCCAAAAATTCATTCCAGAACAACAGAATGTTCTAACATCAAATAATAATAATAATAATAATAATAATAATAATAATAAGGCATCAGTAGGTTATATATGTTTGAATATTTACATAAAATTAATTTAAGATAAGACTTCCCAACTCTGATTATACCATTATTTTAACCTACTTCAATGTAAATGAATGTGCTTACATATCCTTCCAATAAGAATAAAGACAGTAAAATAATAAATGTAATAATAATAAGAATAGAGTGAAATAATAAATGTAATAACAATCATAAATAGAGGAAAATAATAAATGTAATGATAACAATTATAAAATAAAATAATAAATGTAATAATAATGTAAAATGATAAATGTAATAATAATAATAATAATAATAATAATAATAATAATAATAAATAGAGGAAAATAATAAATGTAATAAAAATAATAATAATGAAAGAGGAAAATAATAAATAGCCTTGTCTCGAGTATAAGCCGAGGGGGACTTTTTCAGCCTAAAACAAGGGTTAAAAAACTAGGCTTATATGTGAGTATATAAGGTATGTCTTTCAGGCTGAAAAAGCTCCCCTCTGCTTATACTCAAGTCAAGGTTATTTATTATTTTACTCTGTTATGATGATTATTACTCTGTTATGATGATTATACGGTCTTGATTAGTATAATTACATTTATTATTATACTCTATTATTATTATTTATTGCATTTATTATTTTACTCTATTATTATTAGAGGGATACATAAGCACATTTACACTGAAGAATATTAGAATAATGGTTTAATCGTAGTTGGACAGTTTTATCTTAAATTACAATTTTATGTAAACATTCAAAACCATGTAACCTACTGATGCCTCAATTAATGTAATGTTATTGGCATCTGCGAGAAGATCCAACCAGTCCATCCTCCAGGAGATAAAGCCTGACAGCTAATTGGAGGGAAGGAGACTAGAGACAAAGTGGAAGTCCTTTGGCCACATCATGAAGAGACAGCAAAGCCTGGAGAAGGCAATTATGCTGGGGAAGGTGGAAGGTAAAAGGAAGAGGGGCCGACCAAGGGCAAGATGGATGGATGGCATCCTTGAAGTGACTGGACTGACCTTGAAGGAGCTGGGGGTGGTGATGGCTAACAGGGAGCTTTGGCGTGGGCTGGTCCATGAGGTCACGAAGAGTCGGAGACGACTGAATGAATGAGCAACAAAAATTGGCATCTATTTTTATTTTGCAATTTACCTGCAGCTGCTGCATTTCCCACTCTCGGCTTATACTTGAGTCAATACGTTTCCCCAGTTTTTTTGTGGTAAAATTAGGCTTATATTCGGGTCAGCTTATACTCAAGTATATACAGTATTTGAGGAGGTACTTCTGCAGGTTTTAGATCCCAAATCATTTACCCCATTAAAACTAAGCACAGAGTGACTGAATTAGTATTTTTGTTCTTCTCAATAAAAAAAAACAAACTATTCTGACATGGGTTAGTTTTATCACTTTCTTCACTAATACGTCTTCAGGTGAAAGTGTTTGGGCTGTTTGATACAAAATCAAAAATAGATGTTTGTGTGTGTTATGCTGTGAATAAACTGAAATTGCATCAACAGAATCTTGCTTTAAGATATTCTACTTCTCAGGTGCATGAGCTAATAAGAAGTGAAATACTGGAACAGGTCCTGAACAGAGTCATCACAACTGCAGGTTCCTCCGTCAGCCACTTTATAGGTAACTAGCCATCCCCTGCCACACGTTGCTGTGGCCCAGTCTGGTGATCTGGAAAATAAAGTAATGAGAAAGTGTTGGTTTCTAATATATGTAATTTCTTTATGCTTGTGGGTAAACAGTATTTCTTGCTGTTTCTTTGTCAGTGTTGATGTGGAGATTGTCTGGTTTGCCTACTCTGGAACATGCAACATAGAATTGTCCTTCTTTAGGGGTTCCTTTCAAATCTATGATACTATATCTGTGTGTGTGTGAATCGTATATATCTATCTATATCTATGGCTGGATGGCTCTTTGTCTGGAGGGCTTTGATTACGTTTTCTTGCCCTGGTGAAGGGAGTTGGACTGGATGGCCTTAAATATGGTGGTTCTGTGTGGCAAGTTTGCCCCAATTCTGTCACTGGTGGGGTTCAGAATGCTCTTTGATTGTAGGTGAACTATAAATCCCAGTAACTACAACTCCCAAATGTCAAGGTCTATTTCTCCCAAACGCCCATCTGTCTTCATATTTGGGCATATGGAATATTCATGCCAAATTTGGTCCAGATCCATCATTGTTTGAGTCCACAGAGCTCTCTGTATGTAGGTGAACTATAATTCCCAAACTCAAGGTCAATGCCCACCAAACCCTTCCAGTATTTTCTGTTGGTCATGGGAGTTATGTGTGCCACGTTTGGTCCAATTCCATCGTTGATGGAGTTCAGAATGCTCTTTGATTGTAGGTGAACTATAAATCCCAGTAACTACAATTCCCAAATGTCAAGGTCTATTTCTCCCAAACGCCCATCTGTCTTCATATTTGGGCATATAGAGTATTCGTGTAGAGTTTGGTCCAGATCCATCATTGTTTGAGTCCACAGTGTTCTCTGGATGTAGGTGAACTACAACTCCCAAACTCAAGGTCAATGCACACCAAACCCGTCCAATATTTTCTGTTGGTCATGGGAGTTCTGTGTCCCAAGTTTGTTTCAATTCCATTGTTGGTGGAGTTTGGAATGCTCTTTGATTATAGGTGAACTATAAATCCCAGCAACTACAACTCCCAAATGACTAAATCAATCCTACCCCAACCCAACCAGTATTCAAATGTGGGCATATGGGGTATTGCTCTATGGATGTAGGCGGACTACAAGTCCAAAACTCAAGGTCAATGCCCACTAAACCCTTCCAGTATTTTCTGTTGGTCGTGGGAGTTCTGTGTGCCAAGCTTGGTTCAATTCCATCATTGGTGGAGTTCAGAATGCTCTTCGATTGTAGGTGAACTATAAATCCCAGCATCTACAACTCCCAAATGACAAAATCAATTTTTTTTGAGTGATGGTCACTCCTTGGGTTAGTAGGTGTCTTGTGGCCAAATTTGGCATCAATTCGTCCAGTGGATTTTGAGTTATGTTAATCCCACAAACAAACATTACATTTTTATTTATATAGATTATGAAAGGAAACAATTGGAAACGTCTTTGCAAAGACGATTTTCCACCAGTACAGTTCAGGAAAACAGAGAACAAAACAGTCATGTGATGCAAGAGTAAAAGTAACACATAGAATTGATGGGTTGCTTTTATTTAGATCTTTTCTAAATAGATCCCTTCTTAATCTTCCTTTTCAGATCTTTTGTCCAGCATTGTAATGTCTGCTCCCCTTGTCCTTCAAAGCTCGTCCTCCAAAGTTGCAGAGGCTTTTGATCATTTGTCATTCCTGCCTCTTGATACAGTGCAAGGGCTCCTTAAAGCTGTGCAGGTAATGCGGTTTTGTTTTATAGATGTGTATCAGTCAGTCAGTAGCCTTTATTTCGGTCAACAAACCATCGGCTAAGTCAAGTGAAAGTAGAATGATGAAATGCAACAATTAACAATTAATAACATCACATTTGGCTTATAATTAATAAAAACAAGTATCACCATTCGCTATCGGATGAATGACTGTTTATATAATCTAAAACAGGAACGGATTGCAAATTAATAATAAGTCTCCCGAGTACTCTTTGTTACACTCAGCCTTTACAGGTTATTCATGAGGCACTTGCGGCTTTTTGCCGCTGCAAACAGAAATTTGGCCACCTGTTCCGTTACCCTTTTATCAAGATCAGGCAGTAAATAAGTGCAATACCAACTTAGGGATCTTCCTGGCCACTTGGTGAGTAGAGGGGATATTAACCTTAGTCTATCATCCTTGTAAATTGTGCAAATAAAAAGTACATATATTACAGTTTCAATTTTACCCTCCCCGCATGGGCAAACTCTGTGTTCGTAATCAGTCCCTTTGTATCTACCCTCTAGTATGGCTGATTTGAGGGCAGTGAATCTGGCCCAACTGAAAGCAAGGCGAAATTTTGGGATGTTTAAATTTTCAAAGTATTTGGCACCTCCCAAAGAATTAAATGTTAGGCCTAGACTCAATGGAGAGCATGTGGAGCACGCCAGAGTCATTGAGTCCTGTTTGTCTATGTCAGCCCCGGAGTGTGGTGGAGGCTCCTTTTTTGGAAGCTTTTAAACAGAGGCTGGATGGCCATCTGTCAGGGGTGATTTGAATGCAATATTCCTGCTTCTTGGCAGGGGGTTGGACTGGATGGCCCATGAGGTCTCTTCCAACTCTTTGATTCTATTATTCTAAGTCACCCAGTGAGTTTCCATGGGCAAAAGGGGAATCCAATTCTGTTCTCCAGTCTCACATTAGGAGCCCCCGGTGGCGCAGTGGGTTAAACCCCTGTTCCGGCAGGACTGAAGACCGACAGGTCGCAGGTTCAAATCCAAGGAGAGGCGGGTAAGCTCCCTCTATCAGCTCCAGCTCCTCATGCAGGGACATGAGAGAAGCCTCCCACAAGGATGATAAAAACATCAAATCATCCGGGCCCCCTGGGCAACGTCCTTGCAGACCACAACTTGCGGTTGGGGCGGTGTCCCTCAGACTAATTTTTATTGTAATCCTACTCACACTTACTTTTGGAATATATATTATTCTGGTAATCAAGTGGAAAATACACAACAGCCAGAGCAAGAATACTTGCTCTTATTAGCCCACAAGCCCATATTTTCCTTTTTCAGTCTTTAAACACCGGAAGCGACTTGCAGTTTCTCAAGTCGCTCCTGACACGACAAAAAAATAAAAAATAAAAACATTATGTTGACTCTCCAGGAAAAAAAATCCCATTTATGCATACTGGCCAACTGAGCCTCCCAGGATAGTGGCAGATAGAGATTCTCCAATCGGGGTTTCAGATTTGGGGCAGGTGCATGGAGGAAAAGGGGTCATTCAGCTATTCAGGTCCCAAGGCATTTGGGCTTTCTAGATAAAAACAAACACCTTTGAGGTCGAATTTATAAAAAGGATTGTGGTTATGGAGGTCCCACCTAGCAATCATTATGCTAAACCTGATTTTCCCCAATTGAAAGCAGACTCACCAAGGTTGAAAGCAGCAACACAGGTTTATTTGCAATCCGGCCAGAAGGGATACATATAAGGTTAGCACCAACAATACACTCATGTCATGAATATAGAAAATGCAAGACTTTATACATTTGACAGGCATTCAAACCTCCCACTCCGCCTGCTTCCTTCCCTGATTGGCCAGATGGAGGGCAGTCCTGAATCCGCACTCCCATTGGTCACTGTCCTGATGACGTTGCCACCTCCAGATGGGGATTCCCTTGGGGAGGGTGTTGTCAAGCAATTCAGGATGGCTGTGAATAGATCAAAACCATTGTGGGTTGCCTAGTGAGAAAAGAGAAGCCAATATTCCAGAATAAATCTCACCAAGTTGAAGAGAAAGGTGTTTATTTCATTCATTCATTCATTCATTCATTCATTCATTCATTCATTCATTCATTCAGTAAGTCAGTAAGTAAGTAAGTAATTTCATTCTAGCTGGAACGGATGTCAAACTGCAATCATTTGCTCAGAAGCTGACATAACTCACAAGGTGAAATAATACAGTTTTAATAGGAAATACAGAGCTGTCAAATTCATATTTTCCGCTCCGGCCCCCGCAGCCGGCTTCGCGGTGATTGGTTGGAGTCATCAGCTGGCTGGGAGGCGTGGCCAGCTCAGCTGCACTTTAGCCAACCAGAGCGTTTTCCCCGCTTCGGCCACTCAGCCAATGGGAAGGCAAGCCAGGCGGGAAACAATGAATGGAATGGAGAAATGATAGGATTAAAAAGCCGTTCAGCAGTGGAACTCTCTGCCCCAGAGTGTGGTGGAGGCTCCTTCTTTGGAAGCTTTTAAGCAGAGGCTGGATGGCCATCTGTCAGGGGTGATTTGAATTCAATATTCCTGCTTCTTGGCGGGGGGTTGGACGGGGTGGCCCATGAGGTCTCTTCCAACTCTTTGATTCTATGATTCTATTACTAATGTTTGTCGAAGCGGCCAGCGATAGCTTAGGCCCTCGTGCTGGACACGGCCTATTGTCTGAGACTTTCGAAAATACATTTTTGGCTAGCTCCTTTGTTGTCCTTCCATCCTGGGTATGGGATCCATTGATGAAGTTTAGAGCTGGTTTCGGCCAGATGTGTTGACATAATGGAAAAGAAGCTGTGGTGAATCCGAAATGCAAAGATACAGAATGGGGGACAATGCCTGGCTCGAGAGCAGTACGTGTGAAAAAGATCTTGGAGTCCTCATGGACAACAAGTTAAACATGAGCCAACAATGTGATGTGGCGGCAAAAAAAGCCAATGGGATTTTGGCCTGCATCAATAGGAGCATAGTGTCTAGATCCAGGGAAGTCATCCTACCCCTCTATTCTGCTTTGGTTAGACCACACCTGGAATATTGTGTCCAATTCTGGGCACCACAATTCAAGAGAGATATTGACAAGCTGGAATATGTCCAGAGGAGGGCGACTAAAAGGATCAAGGGTCTGGAGAACAAGCCCTATGAGGAGCGGCTTAAGGAGCTGGGCATGTTTAGCCTGAAGAAGAGAAGGCTGAGAGGAGATATGATAGCCATGTATATAAATATGTGAGAGGAAGCCACAGGGAGGAGGGAGAAAGTTTGTTTTCTGCTTCCTTGGAGACTAGGACGCGGAACAATGGCTTCAAACTACAAGAGAGGAGATTCCATCTGAACATGAGGAAGAACTTCCTGACTGTGAGAGCCATTCCGCAGTGGAACTCTCTGTCCCGGAGTGTGGTGGAGGCTCCTTCTTTGGAAGCTTTTAAGCAGAGGCTGGATGGCCATCTGTCAGGGGTCTTTGGAAGCTTTTAAACAGAGGCTGGGTGGCCATCTGTCAGGGGTGATTTGAATGCAATATTCCTACTTCTTGGAAGGGGGTTTATTTATTTATTTATTTATTTACTTTGCTTGTATACCGCAGTTTCTCAGCCCGTAGGCGACTCAACGCGGTTCACAACAAGAGCAAAAAAGTCAATCGTACAACATACAATATTTAAAACCATTAACAGCCTAGTATACAAATAATGACACATCAATAACAACACATTAGCATCTCGTAACTAAAATCGTGATCCAATTCGTCATCCATAAATCCGTTCCTATATTCATCGTTCAATTGCACTATTTATCTGAACGCCTGTTCAAACAGCCAGGTTTTTAGTTTTCTTTGAAACACGATTAACGAAGGGGCTGATCTAATGTCCATGGGAAGGGCGTTCCACAGCCGAGGGGCCACCACAGAGAAGGCCCAGATTGGCTGAAAACCGGACTGGTTAGGATACGAGCTCCTGTTATTGCGGGTTCCCACTGATGTCATCACTAGTTAGTATTCTACAGTTGTCATTTGTTGGTTCAAAATTTCAGTCCATTCACTGTTCCGCCCTCGAGGGGAACAAACTCCAGGAATATGGTGTGGAAGCATGTAAATGAGTCCTTTATTGATTTTAATGGCCCAGTCCTGATAAACATAATGGGAAACATCTTGTGTATACAAGATGTTTAAACAGCTCAATGGGCAAAGTTTGCCTGACAAATATGCACTGCACTTCAGCAGTAGATAGTGCAGATGATATTAATGAAAGCTGGGAAAAAACCTCTCAAGAGAGCAGGAAACGTCTCAATGAAATAGGAGTTTATCAATGGAAAAGGTTTTTGTAAATAACGTCAGCAAGGAATTTATCAATGGGGTCAGGTAGCATTTTGAGTGCATACATTAAGTGCCTCTTCCTCTCACCACCCTACCCCCCCCCCAATCCATTATGAAGAAATTATGCAGATCATAGAATCATAGATTCAAAGAGTTGGCCATCCAGTCCAACCCCCTGCCAAGGAGCAGGAATATTGCATTCAAATCACCCCTGACAGATGGCCATCCAGTCTCTGTTTAAAAGCTTCCAAAGAATGAGCCTCCACCACACTCCGGGGCAGAGAGTTCCACTGCTGAATGGCTCTCACAGTCAGGAAGTTCTTTCTCATGTTCTGATAGAAGGACACACCCAGGCGTGGCTAGGCAGATATTCCAAAAGTGACTTTCTTTATTATAATTTGGGAAAGAGGGGGATGCAGCCTGCTTGGCTCCTTTGGGATTGCGGAATATATTGTAGAAAGGCAATCTGCTGGCATTGCGAGATTGCTGGAAAAATCTTTCATAAAAAAATTGAAGTCGAGCATGTCCCCCCCCCCCCAAATAAGGGGTGGTAACTTATAGTTCTGCAAAGGGCAAGGGCACCAGACTGCACAATAGGGGTTAAGTCTTGGTCAATTTGCCAAGACACTAACAACAACAAGGACCCCAGGAGGTTTTCAGGGAGCAGATTGGTCCCTGGGCTCCAGCCCTTGGAAAGAGTTACAGTTTTCCAAGGGCCAAGGACAAGTCTTGATCCTGGAATCAATTTCTTGGCTCAGTGGAAATCACCCAGCTCCTTTTGTGACTGTTGGACTTTCTTCAATTCTTTTTGGCTCTAAAGAACTCATTTTCGCATCTGAACTTCCCCAGTATGAACTATGGACACATGTTTTAATAAAGTTATTATTTTAATCAATTTCTCTGGGGGACAGGTGGTAGGAAGGGATGCTTGATATGAATTTCTTTGGATTCCTATGATTTCCCCATGTAGTTTTCCTCGTTTTTTGCCCTGGCACCCAATCCATCGCCCCTTTCCCTCCCCCTTGGGGGAAACTCATCAAGGAAGCGGCCAGCTGTTGAAAAGGACAATTAGCAAACACAAAGACTCTTATCATGATAACTCGTGCATGGAAACATAGAATTGGAAACATAGAATTGAACCTCAGAGTTGGCCCATTCAATGAAAAGATTTCGCTTGGCACCTTTGATCACATCACCCTGGGGGGGGGGGCAAGACCCTAGAGAGGGTCTTTCCCCCAAAACTGTTTCTCCTTTCAAAACTTGCCGTGACAAATGTTCACCCCAGTTCCTCCATTGTGTCCTATCTGGTGGCGACAGGAAGACTCGGATAAAGTCATCAATGTCTATCACAAATCCATTCAAAGACAATGGGCTGGGCATCCGTCGCAGACCCCAAGGCATGAAATTCATTAATCCATTCACCAGCCCATTGTTTCTTCCTTGTCCCGCCTCCTTTCTCCTGATTCGCCAGAGCACTGAGGCGGTAGGAGTTTTCCCATTGGCTCCTGTGCAGCAGAGGAGCTCTGTGATTGGCCTGGCGCAGGGCGGGCGACCAAGCCTCCTCCCAGCTGTTATCCCGTCAGCCAATCACCTGTGAGCCGGGCGGATGGTGGGAATTTTGAAACTTCTAAACCTGTAAACCCTATAAAAATGCCTCTGATCTCTGTACTGGTATGCTTTGTTGGCGAATGATTGCTACGCTGCATCCTTTTCAGCTGAATTGCTAATAAACACCTCGGTGCCGTTTCTTCAACTTTGGTGAGGATTATTTTGAATTATTTTAAACTCAATAAAATTGCTGAAATCAGGCTTCTCTAGCTTGCCAAAGTAGCGATCCCTCTTTGGTGGGGTCTCAGGGTCCCTCCTCCCGGGGACGACCCTCCTAAAGTTCCTATTGGCTTCAAAATCATGAATGAACCCCCGCAATTTATGAATTAAGGCAAAGAATATGAGAAGTGGACACAAGACATTCATGAACGTGGTGGAAAATCCATGAATGATTTAAGGCTTATAAGGAGATAGAGAAGGACTTCCTCAGTCAATAGGGGGTTAGGAACTCTGCCATTTCTTCTCGGGCTCCCCACAGGTGATCAATGTCATTGTAAAGGGATTACAATGGATTACTGTAATGCACTCTACGTGGGGCTGCCCTTGAACATGGCTCGGAAATTTCAATTGGTTCAACAGGCAGCAGCCAGGTTACTAACTGGAGCAACTTACAGGGAGCGGTCAACCTCCCTGTTTAAGGAGCTCCATTGGCTCCGTTTTCTGATCCCAGTTCAAGGTGCAAGTTCTTACCTACAAAGCCCTGAACGGTTTGGGACCCGCCTACCTGCATGACTGCATTTCTGTGTACGAACCCATGCAATCTCTTCGATCATCTGGAGAGGCCCTGCTCTTGCTCCTGCCTCCTTCGCAGGTGTGATTGGTGGGGACGAGAGAGAGGGCCTTCTCTATGGTGGCCCATCGACTCTGGAACTCCCTCCCCAAGGACATCAGGTAAGCCCCAACGTTGCCAGTCTTTAGAAGGAGCTTGAAGACGTGGATGTTCCAGTGTACCTTCCCAGAATAAGGACTCCCAAGCAATATGTCCCAAATGCACCTTACGAGAGATTTAGTACTGTCTGCACGCCCACCTATCTTTAAAATATCCAACCTATTTCCCTGGACATGCCCAGCATTTTAAAATTTTAATTCTTACATTTGGCTCTGCCACCGGTTTTTAATTGCGCCGTGTCATTATCGTATTGTTTTGCTTTGTTATGAGTTATTTATTGTTGTATTGTTGTTGTTATGTTTTATGATGTATTTGGGCTCGGCTTCTTGTAAGCCACACCGAGTCCTGCGGGAGATGGTAGCAGGGTATAAATAAAGGATTATTATTATTATTATTATTATTATTATTATTATTATTATTTAATTACCCGTTGGGTGGCTCTCCCTAAATTTTGTTTAAAACCCTCCTACTAGGTACATCCTACCTCTGTTCATGCCCAGCGTTTATTTTTAAAATTTTAACTATTACATCTGGCCTGGCCATAAGTTGTTTTTTTTTTTGTGTTATTGTCTATATGTGAATTTATTAATTGTATTGTTTATTTGCTTATTGCTTGTTGTTTTTACTGATGTGTTGTTGGGCTTGGCCTCGTGTAAGCCGCTCTGAGTCCCTTGGGGAGATGGTGGCAGGGTATAAATAAATAATAATTATTATTACTGCTTGATAGCAGTATGTGTGAAAAAGATCTTGGAGTCCTCGTGGACAACAAGTTGAACATGAGCTAACAATGTGATGTGGCGGCAAAAAAAGCCAATGGGATTTTGGCCTGCATCAGTAGGAGCATAGTGTCTAGATCAGGGGTAGGGAACCTTTGGCCCTCCAGCTGTGGTGGACTTCAACTCCCACAATTCCTTGAGGCTCGGCATTGGGCCAAGGTAAGCCTTTGGGGCGAATGCCGAGCCTCAAGGAATTGTGGGAGTTGAAGTCCACCACAGCTGGAGGGCCAAAGGTTCCCTACCCCTGGTCTAGATCTAGGGAACCCCTCTATTCCACTTTGGTTAGACCACACCTGGAATATTGTGTCCAATTCTGGGCACCACAATTCAAGAGAGATATTGACAAGCTGGAATGTGTCCAGAGGAGGGCTACTAAAATGATCAAGGGTCTGGAGAACAAGCCCTATGAGGAGCGGCTTAAGGAGCAAAGACGGAGATCCTATGGCTGGGTCGACAAATAAATAAATAAATAATCTTCAGAATCCCTGGGTTGAGTTAGGTTCCAAAAGAGGCCAGAGAGTGTGCTCTGAACCAGGGAGAAATATAATGAGCAGAG